ACAGTTTACAAATATGTATTACTTTTGTAAACCAACATGAAAGGACACTTCACTACTAGCTAAGATTTCTGAGATGGTAGTAACCGATTTTATGCATTGTCCCAAAGGAAATCAACATCAGGCTTATATTTCTTCTCTAGGTCAATTCTATGTGGATCCCTTCTCCCAGATGAATTTTCTATACAGGATACAGATTTTGGCTTTGACAAGATTGCTCAGTTTGTAATTACTCTCTCTTTTTTTATGTGAAACTCGACAATATTTGGAAATAGCCCTAGCACAGTCTTGAGTCAAGGTACCATATTTCTTTCTCCGTTACCAGGACTGAGAGCTCCCAAGAGAATTTTCCAAGTGCAGGGCCCTGGAGATCACCTGAGACTGAACTCAAGAGATACAGAGGCCTAGAGGACACGGACTTTGTGCATCAAGGTGTGATGATAATGTGGATTTTGGAGTTGATCAGGCTCTGGAACCTCAGGGTTTCTCTGCAACACTGATGGTCATATTTCTCTTATCAAACTGTTTTAAAGATTAAAAAAGATAATGTATGAAGAGTGCCTAGCTCAGTGCACACAGTGGATTATTAATAAGGGGTGAGCACTGGAGAAGGCAGCAGAGGGAGAAAGTCTGCTGCTACTCTCCATCCTCTCCCCAGTGAAGTTTTCCAAAGTGTGTGGGGTGTGGAGGCGCTGTCTGGATCTTAGCCCCGCCCTGACTGGGCTGGCCTGACCAAGGGCACATCTTTGGTTTCACCATGGAAATGTAACCACTTCTGGCGTAGAAGACAGGCAGTGGTAGCCACAGGCCAGCAGCCAAAAGCATGGGGTGAGGGGCAACCCTAGGAAGCCCAGGGACAATACTAAATGCAAGACTCCATTATTTCTCCGAAATCACTGCATTAGTGATGCGCTTCCTCCACCCATGGCCACTCTGCCTTTTAACTATTCATCATGTAGTAGCAAGTATGCCAGAGCCTTACAGGAAACACAGGGAATCAGGCTGTACCTGGTGATGGATTGAAATCCATCTACTACTTTAACTGCTGCCCTTATTACTAGTACTGCTTCCAGTTCCTCCTTTTTTTTTTCACAGCAGCTGCTGTTACTATTAATCCTTTAAGTTTGTATACTGCTATTTATAAAGTGCCTGGGTTTTACCTGACTTAAGATGATACTGGACATGGCGTGATGGGAAGGCAGAGGCAGGCTGGCACTAGGGATCTCAAAGGGACCAGAGCAGAACTATCCATATTTTTCTTCATTCCCAATTGCCTGGGCCCCAGACACACCCACCATCACCAGACACAAGCAGTCACTCTCCTATCACTGTTCCGCTCCAACTGTCCATAGCTAATTTAGGCAACTTCAAGGGTAAGGACTAGGAATAATGATCTTTTATTTGGTCAGAGGAACAGAACCATGTCGAAATCACACCAAATGGGGTGACAGAGGAGACAATGCTTTTCAAATAAAGACCATTGGCTCTGCCAACATCTCCCACCTTATCACAGGAAAGCCCTGGAAAAAAACAGACTTTTGCTTTTTAGGTGACTTTAAAATTTCCTGTGCCGAAGTTAAATTTTTTTAATGCCTGACTTTGACCTAAATCCCCAAAGTGAACTCTGGAATATGTATCTCACCGGCTCATCCCAACCGAAGGGCCCCTAAATTCTGAAGGTACAGGATGCTTCCCATCTCTTCCTTGCATTTCTTAGAGAATAAGCCATGCAATTACTTAGAGAATAAGACAAGTATGGGGGTCTGGTACCACTAGCAAAATCCCTCCTAATCAGAAGGAGCTCCCAGCTAGAAGAGAACATAACCACGGGCATTTTGGAAACTGCCTGCATACTCTTCACGTGATCCCCTCCAGTTACCCAAATGAATTTTTAGACTAACATCTCATAGCACATTCAAGCTGCCCCCTTGCAGAGTGGGGGCTGCAGCCTTCCATACAGAGTACAAGGGTTCAGAGTCTAGGTTTCTTCCTGAAGCCTCACAACAGCCTTTTGTTTGCTGCTGAGATGCCTTAGCAACACAGCCTAATCCTCTAGGTACTTCTGGGCTGTCCAAGTTCCTCCTAAACCCCAAACCTTTCCCTCTAGGCACAGCTGAGTAGAAAGACAGATCACTGAGAAAATGAGCATCCTCAGACTAATGAGCTCCTGCAGCCCACGGGTCAGCTGCCTTTTTGCCAGAATGAACTTGGAGTTGCTGGCTCCTTCCTTTTAGCAGGCACAAGGGGGAAAGAATATCTTATGGGCCATGCTTCACTGTCTTGGCTCTAACAACAACAGTGAGCATCTTTTCCTTCCCTTTCCATCAAATGACAATTATAAACACACATTTAAAGATTTTATGTGGCCATTTTAAATAATCTTCACAAAAATATTTGAATGAAATGTAAAAATGCTTCTGACATAATGGTAAGTGGGAATAAAAGGATACAGGAGATCCTTAGTTTTGTAAATAGTTTACATTTATATACAGAAAAAAATATAGGAAGGAAATATATCACAATGGGTTTCTTTAGGTGGTGGGATTAAAGGTAATTTTGTATTTTCTTCTTTAAACATTCTGATATTTTCTAAAAGAAAATACAGTTTACAAATATGTATTACTTTTGTAAACCAACATGAAAGGACACTTCACTACTAGCTAAGATTTCTGAGATGGTAGTAACCGATTTTATGCATTGTCCCAAAGGAAATCAACATCAGGCTTATATTTCTTCTCTAGGTCAATTCTATGTGGATCCCTTCTCCCAGATGAATTTTCTATACAGGATACAGATTTTGGCTTTGACAAGATTGCTCAGTTTGTAATTACTCTCTCTTTTTTTATGTGAAACTCGACAATATTTGGAAATAGCCCTAGCACAGTCTTGAGTCAAGGTACCATATTTCTTTCTCCGTTACCAGGACTGAGAGCTCCCAAGAGAATTTTCCAAGTGCAGGGCCCTGGAGATCACCTGAGACTGAACTCAAGAGATACAGAGGCCTAGAGGACACGGACTTTGTGCATCAAGGTGTGATGATAATGTGGATTTTGGAGTTGATCAGGCTCTGGAACCTCAGGGTTTCTCTGCAACACTGATGGTCATATTTCTCTTATCAAACTGTTTTAAAGATTAAAAAAGATAATGTATGAAGAGTGCCTAGCTCAGTGCACACAGTGGATTATTAATAAGGGGTGAGCACTGGAGAAGGCAGCAGAGGGAGAAAGTCTGCTGCTACTCTCCATCCTCTCCCCAGTGAAGTTTTCCAAAGTGTGTGGGGTGTGGAGGCGCTGTCTGGATCTTAGCCCCGCCCTGACTGGGCTGGCCTGACCAAGGGCACATCTTTGGTTTCACCATGGAAATGTAACCACTTCTGGCGTAGAAGACAGGCAGTGGTAGCCACAGGCCAGCAGCCAAAAGCATGGGGTGAGGGGCAACCCTAGGAAGCCCAGGGACAATACTAAATGCAAGACTCCATTATTTCTCCGAAATCACTGCATTAGTGATGCGCTTCCTCCACCCATGGCCACTCTGCCTTTTAACTATTCATCATGTAGTAGCAAGTATGCCAGAGCCTTACAGGAAACACAGGGAATCAGGCTGTACCTGGTGATGGATTGAAATCCATCTACTACTTTAACTGCTGCCCTTATTACTAGTACTGCTTCCAGTTCCTCCTTTTTTTTTTCACAGCAGCTGCTGTTACTATTAATCCTTTAAGTTTGTATACTGCTATTTATAAAGTGCCTGGGTTTTACCTGACTTAAGATGATACTGGACATGGCGTGATGGGAAGGCAGAGGCAGGCTGGCACTAGGGATCTCAAAGGGACCAGAGCAGAACTATCCATATTTTTCTTCATTCCCAATTGCCTGGGCCCCAGACACACCCACCATCACCAGACACAAGCAGTCACTCTCCTATCACTGTTCCGCTCCAACTGTCCATAGCTAATTTAGGCAACTTCAAGGGTAAGGACTAGGAATAATGATCTTTTATTTGGTCAGAGGAACAGAACCATGTCGAAATCACACCAAATGGGGTGACAGAGGAGACAATGCTTTTCAAATAAAGACCATTGGCTCTGCCAACATCTCCCACCTTATCACAGGAAAGCCCTGGAAAAAAACAGACTTTTGCTTTTTAGGTGACTTTAAAATTTCCTGTGCCGAAGTTAAATTTTTTTAATGCCTGACTTTGACCTAAATCCCCAAAGTGAACTCTGGAATATGTATCTCACCGGCTCATCCCAACCGAAGGGCCCCCTTCCTCCTCTTGCCTAGCAGCCCGCCGTCCTCAGGAGCAGGGCTCCCGGCGCAGAGCGAGAATGTCGCACAGCTCAAGCCCAGCCAGGCACTGGCTTCCCTTTGGGACCGCTCTTTTCACTTGGCAACCGGGGGCCCCAAGCCGAGCTCGGGGGGAAGAAAGGGGCATTCTGGAATCCATTTTACCGAAGATGCTGAAGGCATCGTGGCAAACTGCCCTTTGCTAAGAAAGCCGAAGGAACTTGAGGAAGGACCTACCCAGAGCGATGCGTGCGGTCAGTTACGAGGAAGGTGAAGGCGAGCTCTGGCGCCCAGGATGCCTGAGCAGGGCAGCCACCGGTCAGGCGGTGGGTGCGGGCGGTCCACCTTGGGGGCTACTTCCCGCATTTGGACCCAGGTCCACTGGTGAGCAGTAGCAACAGTGGCCGCCACCGGGCCACCTGGATCCCTGCTGCCTGTCGTTATTTTTAGTTGAGATTTACGATGATGCGGGGGAAGGGAAGAGGGATGACAACGAGTTTTGGAAGGGAGAATCCTGAAAGTCACACTTTTTCCAAAGCGCCCCCCTCCCAGCTCTCCCTCCCAGGGCAGCACGGTGCCAGCGGGGCAGCGCATCGCGGGCGGGCCGCAGAGGTCGGCTCGGACCCGGGGCGCCGGCCCGGGCCCGCGGACCCGCGCGGGCGCGAGGCCGGGAGGGCGGGGGAGGAGGGGCCGGGCGCGCGGCGCCGCGCAGCTCACCTGCCAGGCTGTTGTAGCAGTCGATCTCGATGGCTTCCACCGTCTGGGTCTGCTCCTCCGTGAGGCGGCCGGGGTTGGGGGGCCCGGCCGCGAAGGCCGAGCGCGAGTCCCGCTCCTGTTCCCTGGGGGCCGGCAGCAGCCCCTTCAGCTCCAGCAACGCCCGGTGGTATTTGCCGATGGCTTCGCGGAATTTCTTGTCCTTGTAGCACTGCGCCCCTTGGCTCTTGAACTCGTGCGCGCGCCGAATGAACTCGGCTGGCTCGGCCGCCGCCCCAGCCGGGCCCCGCGTCGGGGCCCCTCCGCCGCCGCCCGGGACGCACAGTGGCGGCCGCGGCGCCTCGCCGGCCGCGGGCGGGCTCGGGTTCCCTTTGGCCCCGGCCGCCGAGCCCTTTCTCTCCATTCGGCCGCCGCCCGGCGCCCCGCGCGCGCCGCGATCCGCCCGCCGCCGCCGCTGCCGCCGCCGCCGCGCCCTCCGGGTTTAAAAGCGGCGGGCGCCTGCCCCGCGCCTGGCGAGCGTGGCCGCGGCCGTGACTCCCCGCGGCTGTCTACCGCCCCGCACTGCCATTCTCCTCGGCGGCTGCTGGAGGCTGCTCTCTCCTCCTCCTCCTCGGAGTGCCTTCCCCTCCTTCTCTCCCTCCCTCCCTCCCCGGCTCCCGCGCGGCCCGCCCTCCTCCCCGCCCGCAACCTGCGGGCGGCGGCGACCTAGCCGGGCGCGCTCCGGGCCAGCGGCGTGGGGGCCCGCGGGCCCGGCTGGGTGGTGGTGACTGTCGCTGACCCGGAAGAAGCTTGGCTTGCCCGAAGGAGGGAAGGATTCATGACAAAGACGGCCCCATTCAATCCAGCCCTCGGAGACGCGCCTGGTCTGAGAGGAATGGGGGAAGGGGTGTGTGCGTGTGTGTGTGTGTGTGTTTAGGGACGGAGGACGCCAGCGACGAAACGCGTGCACTCGCCCTCAGATTTCTTAACAACTAAAAAGAAAGCTGCGGTGGGGAGCAGGGGGCGTAGGCGCAAACCATAGATAGCTTCTTGTCCTTTGCAGTAAGACATTGTTTTTAAGGTGGCAAGGCCTCCTTTTTGTGAATCCAGGTTATCGCTGAGGTGTATCTCCGTGTGTGGCCGTCCGGGTGCCCAAAACAGAGCGTGCATTTCAGCTTGTGGGGCGTTGTACTCCTGGAGCCGCCTCGTGCTGACACCTCGGTGTGCGGGCAGCTGTGCAGGATGAATCACAGATAGCAGAGATGGAAAACACCTGTTACTGTTGGTCAGCAGGCTTGGCGTGCACGCCTCTAGTTTCCATTTGCAGGACAGTTCCGTGCCCTTCCTCAGGAGGTTCCATTCTTAACTTCATTCAGTTTTTCAGTCAGCCTGAGAGCAGGCCTCTGCTGGGGATCTGCTGAGCTAAGGGGTGAAGATTCTAGAGTGTGAGAAGCACTACCCTAGAAGGTTTGACAGAGAGAAATACACAAGGAAGAAAAATCCCCAACCCTACACAGTCACCCAGATACATTGTTTGTTAATATTTTGATGTAATTACTAACTGTTGTTTTCTACACATCTATAGTTGAACAAAGTGTTCTTTGAACAAACGAGTGGTCTTTCTGCTTCACATTGTATGTGATAAAATAGTCTTTGTAAAGCCTCATTTTTAATGGCTTTATAATACTCATGTCTTGTGCCGTAGTAAAGGAAACCATTTTTCTGTGGTCAGATTGATTACAATTGTTTGCTATTTTAACTAACACTGAGATAAAAATAATAGATACCATTTACATGTAGTGTTTAGTGGGTTATAGTGCCAGGCGCTGGGTTAAGCACTTCACATATAAAAATTAATTTCATCCTTATAACAAACCAGTGAAATACGCACTATTATTATTCCCATTTTGGACACCAGGTCACAAAGACTTGCCCAAGTTCACACTGCTAATAAGTAGTGGAGCTGGGATTTAAATCCAAACAACCTGGCTTCAGAATCTATGTTCTTAACTATATTTATACTTACATTTTTGTCCTAATTTATTTTTCCTTACAAGAAATTATGAATTTTTAAAAAGGTCTTGAAGCATATTGTCAATTTGCTTTTTAGAAAGGTTGTGCTAACTTGCACTCCCCATCCTTGCCAACATCGAGGGTTAAACTTTTAAAAATATTTTCTAATTCTGTAAGTGAGAATTGTATATTGAATGAACTGGGATATCTTCCATTACAAGAGTGAACATTTTTCACATGTGTACTTGCCATTTATATAGTCCTGAGAACTTTTATTTGGACACAATCTTGATATACTAAAGTATACCTTATATGTTTCAGTATCTTACTTTTCCAAGTGCTTTTACATCCTTAATCTGATTTAATCCTATTAGCCCAAGAGAAGGAAAATGGAATTTCTACTCACATAGTGAGTTTACAATGGTTTCTGACCAGTAAGATATCAAATTAGTTTAGTGCTTAAGAGGCTTTGGACTCTGACAGGTGTGTGCTGGATTTCTATATTTGCTGCTTCCTGGGAAAGTTACCCAATTTCTAAAAACTTCAAAGTTCCTCACTCATTAAGTGGGAATACTGCTTACTTCATAGGGTTGATGTGAAGCACATTTGTAAGTGCTCAACAGATGGTAACTTTATTACTCATTAGATCCTGGTGTTATTGGATCCCATAATAATGTTATGGCAGATTCTAGTTAATCCATAAATATTTGCCAAAACCTGCCTCCTTTTATTTTAAGGTATATGTTAGGTAAAGAAAAGAAAAGAAATTGGGGTTTGTGTACTGTGAGTTTTTATCATTAACTTTTTGCACAGGTAGGAAGAGCTACGAAAGGCAAATATTGACAAAGATCCAGGCTTGGGATTTGGCTACTGTCATAAATAAGATGTGAATTGGGTCATGACAGTCACAACTATTTAAAGGTGAGAAATAGTGATGTGCCAGTTGCTTTTTGTTTTCCTACCGTGTTCTTGCTTAATAGAACAGTATCTTCTTCTTAGATTTGGGGGTTGAGGACAGGGCTGGAAGAGACATGTAATCCACGTGGTACTGCCTTTGTGTTAAACAGAGCTCAACAGAAGAGTTTAATAGTAGCTTGGTGGAAGGAGAACAGAGTGAGTTAGGGAGGGAGTCGTACGGGAAAGGGAGGATGGAGTGTGAGGGGACTTACTACGCCCATCTGTCCTGCTCCTCAGAGCTGAATGTGTATGCCTAGAACTGTTTTGTTTGCTTGTTTTTAGTATGCTTCTGTCTCTGAGTAAGCTGCTCTTTGGTAAATGTGTGCTGCTGTCTCAGAAATGGTCTCCTTTCAAATGGAATTAAATTGGTGCCAAAGAATTTCTCAAACATCCTCTCATTAACTATTGACCATATGCAGAGTGCTATTTTAGAAAGTGAGCAAAGATCCAAATGATAGATAATTTGGGCATGGATTTAGGAATCAGATACTCGGTGCTTCTCAAACTTTAATGTGCATATGAATCCCTTGGCAAGCTTACCAAAATGCAATTCCTTGATTCCATTAACCTAGGGTGGGGCCCAAGATCATGCAATTCTAACAAGCTACCAGGTGATGGTAGTACTGGTGGTCGGTCTGTGGCCCATATTTTGAGGAGCAAGTATTTAGAAGAAAGGGAAGTTCCATCTCTCTTCCCATCTCTCCTGGCCTTTGCCCTCTATGAGAGGACTTGTTCATTAGATTGGTCAGATTCCAGGAAATTAATTGGGTCATGTTTAACAAGGGCAGGGTTAGGAACCTCCATGCAGCTTGCTGTTCTGCTTCTTGTGGCAGGAATAGGTACACTAAGCTAGGGCCTCCCTTTGGGATCTGGCCATCTTCTTGTCCTTCCTCAGATGCATAGCCAAGCATATGTTTTATTGCTTCCATTTCTGGCCCAATGTGGCAGGATGGACGGTGAGAAGATTTTAATGTGCAGTGGAGAGGGAAGCCTTGGGCGCCTTTACTGTAGGCTGCTTGCTCCCACTTTGTTTCCACAAGATAGCTCTGCACTAAGAAATTAGGCATCTATTCAGGTGAAAATCAAGTGGTATTTTGATTTCTCATCTGTTGATGGCCCTTGAATGTATAGCTTGCTCATGAACCTCATAGAGGAGAAAGATGGTTATTGAGCCACAGTAGGTGTCTAATACTTATGGTCCTTTGGTCCAGTGTCATCAAAACCTCTCCCTTCATTCCTAACAGGCAAGTCCTGGGCACAGGCCAGTAAATCCTATGGAGGATCATGCCACTAATAGAATAACTCCTTTTATGCTGGACAATGTCTTACAGAAAATGTAATCGGAACTATTTTGATGGAAAGGACTTGATGTGGCACATACGCAGCAGAAGGTACAGTGCTCCTGCTGAATTTGTGGCTCTCAGACTGTATCTGCCCTCTGTTCTGACCTTGTTTCTGCTTCTCTGAGTCTCTGCCTTTCTCACTGTCTCCTGGTCTTAGAAGATTCAAGCCCCCTTTCTTTCCAAACTCACTCTGGAGCTTGTATACCACCTAAACAGATGGCATGTACTGCTTTTTCTCTTCTTTTAGCTCAGTGTCTAAGCATATGTGAAAGACATATATTTGAATCTCTTTTATACTAATCTGAACTGTTCAGGGTTTGGCCACATGCCAACCAAACCAAAGCTATTTTGGGGATGTTTTTCTAATCTCATTCAAGTTCACAATTAACCTGAGAATATGACAGTATTTCCATCACCAGTTTTTATTCATATTCAATCTCCAATCATCTTTTTATGGAAGAGTGGGAGCTATCAAACTATTTCATGCCCAGATGTAGCATTAGCCATATAGCAATAGTTCAATGTGAGCTTCATATTTTTATTCATCCCATATCTGTGTCCTCACTCACACCCCAATAACAGTTTCCTCTATAATTCCACTGCCCAGTTCAGTCTGGCCTTGTTTTTCTAAATATCCCTCTCTCCTGTCTATCACTACTCTCTCCTACTACTCAATCCACTCCCTGACCACCTCATCTCCAGTATCAACTGTAGGCTTCCATGAGGGCTATGATGTCAGTTCCTTGGATCTGCTATCACCCCTTCCTTAGGGGACTCTTCTTACCCCTACTCCATGTGGTCCTGGTGGAGCTGTCCATCATGGTGTCTGAGTCACACCTGACACCCACCCATGCAGCTTGCTTGCTTGCTATTTCTGGTTTGGCCAATCATATCATTCCATCCCCTGAGTGATTGGTTCAGAGAGGGGCATATGACCCAAGTAGAAACAATCAGAAATTTCCATGAGATTTTCATACAGACATTAGGAGAAAAAATTTCTTGAAGTCTTGAAGCTGGGACTATCAGTGGGCCATCATTTTCACCACTTGGAGAAGGCCTATCTGAAAAATAATTTGAACAGAGGCAAAAGGTTAAGAAGGAGGGACAGAGCTCTGGTGGTATCAGTAAAGTTCTTAGATCCAG